ACCTTGGTGATTTGCTGTTGATCCCGATTTTTTTCACCAAATCCCGATTTTTCTCTCCCTGAGATCCTAATTTTGAGGCTTCATAGAATGGCAGGTCTGGTAACTGTATTGTGAAGGTACGGCCTACATATATCTATTCATTATTCCCAGGTTTGCCTTTTATCAGTATCAAAGGTGCAATGACAAATTAATTGAATTATAGTAGCAATGGAACAGGAACCTGCTTTTAAACATTGCCAGCAATGGAAAGATATATTGGTGAAGAAATCAAACAAGACAAAATCTGGGTGAAAAAATAGGTAGTATGAGTTGTTGGCAATCTCTTCAAACAGGCTCCCATATGCCATTTTCAACCCTCTAAAAGTACTAAATTTCAATTTCTTCGGGGGCTTCTCCTCCTGAACCCCCGCCGGGACTCTGTCCCTGGACCCTGCTGGGGGCCTCTGCGACCCCCAGCAGAATTTTCCTTACTTTTCAGCTTTAGCTGGTGGAAGCACTGGAACTACTTTCGCTTATGGTGCCTAGTGGCCCACTATTCTTCGTTTCCGAGCTCCCCTACTCACTCTCCTACTCAGTTTTCTACGTCCTCACTCTTCAACTGCCAGCAATCGACTGACGTCTCTAACCGGGTTTTTCAGTCATCACGACCGTGCCACCGTGTCCTTTGACCCATGACCCTGACATCTTGAGCCTAATTGGTCAGTCTAATCACGTGGTCCACTATTCTTATTTGCTCGCAACTCTGCTGGCCTGGCCTAGGCCTACTCCTGGTCCGACAAAGTACAAAGGAGGGCTAGAGACGAGATGCGCACGAGAGCTCATTTGCATGCAACCCCCTCGGCCCTGCTCGCGACTTGGCGAGTATCTACCCCGATTGTCCGTTCATGTTTTTGTTTATAATATCTGTGTGTGAGTGTCTTTAAATTATTGTTGCACCCCCCCCTCCCCCCACTGTTGTTACATTGATATGTAAACACGACTGTTCGCTCATGTTATTGTTTCGCATTTTTGTGTGTTTTCTTTATTATAGTTTCCAGGGGGGCAAGCGCCCCTGAACCCCCCTCCCCCTCCCCACTGTTGGTATGATACACCATGGTCCACCAAAGTTAAATCCCCTGCCCACTCTCAACCACCAACTCTCGCTCACCTCGCCTCGCCAGTTGCCGCTGGCTTGCGCTGTGCGTGCGCGAAGTCGCCCGCGGAACTACCTTTTGTCCGCACTCAGAGTACTATGACTATGAGAGCGTAGTTAGGCTAGGTGTGCGTAGTAATCACGAGCCGAGACGGGTGGTCCGGTAAAGTACAATCCAGCCTTGTTACATTTCTTAAATGAAAGTTGACTCTGACTAGCAATGCCAATGAAAATTTAAATTTTCACTTTACCCTTTTTTTTTGGTACCTAAGAAAGAATTTTCAATTCTAAGAATTATGCTTCTTGAATTTTGAGAATCGGTTCATAAATAAAAAAAAGTTATGGGGTTGTAAAGGTCGGCAAAATATGGATGACCCACATATAAGAAAATACTCCTAAAAAGTGGACCACGCAGTAGCAGATTCTGTAAGAAAATCGACGATATCTCGGTAACTAATTGGAGTGTTCGAGAGAAACTTGGCTACCCGATGTGTTTTTGAGTGTAGAAATCATTTCTGCAGTCAGATTTACTACAAATTTCGTAGTTATTCTGTCATAATTAAAATTGTGGTGTACATATTACGATTTTGCGAAAAAGGGGTGTCGGGATGAGTCCATTTTATTTATAGCATCGTATCACAACATGGGATCTTTAAGAATATGTCGGCAGCGTGACTAAATAATTGCAAAGCTTTTTATGATGACTTTAGACCATGCCAACCGTAAAAGATAAGTTAATTCAATCTAGCATGCCGTACAATTAAAAATTCTTTTTCCCCGTTGAGACGCGAACACCCCGAGACGAGATAACCTCGCCTCGGAATACCCCCATTGCGGTGTTACAGGGGAATAGAGAGAAAAACAACCGGATGCGCGCGCCCGCCATTGCCCTATTTCAAGTGACCAATGAACGGGCCCGGAATAGTCATGCGGGGATTTGTAGGTCACATACATTTGCCACGAGAGTGAAGTGAAAATGGCCGGTCTCCGTGCGAAGCCGCTTTGGATAGGGGGGTAGTCGTGCATTTATGATCGGGTCTAAACAACTACTTGACACAGAATGTTCAAATTTGAGCACACTATAGAGGATAGATAGATCTATTACCATCTCGGCGTTGAAATTCAAACTCCTTATAGTTTTCGGTGTACACGATACGATAGTGTTCTCGACACCAAAAGTATAGGTTAATTTATGTGTACGAACTTCAACGTCCACATATCATTAGTCTGCCCTATTTTCTGATTGGTTGCCGAGTTTCATTCGGATTGGTTCGGAAATAGAGCAGACCGAGGTTGACAAAGTTAGTCACCTACGCTTCGGCCGGGTCCGCAAAATCGCCCGTAAACGGGGACCAAATTTTTGCCGCACGGGAAAGCCCGATTGGCATTGCTACAGAATAATAATGGATCCCTGTAGTGGTGCTGCTAGAGTAGAGAATGCCGGTGAAAAGGGGGGGGGGGGCGCGGGAAAAAGAAGGAGGGAGAAAGGGGAGAGAGAGAGGGGGGGGGAGAAAGAGGAAGAGGGGGGAGAAAGAAAGAAGGAGAAAGAGAGAGAGAGGGGGTAGAAGAGAGAGAGAGGGGCTGAAAGAGGCGAGGTGAGCGAGAGAGAAAAAGAGAGAGGAAGTTTATTTTCACTTTCCCTAATTGTACAACTTGTCTTGCACAACTACAATGATCCATAATATTATGATGTCAATTTGGTCAGACATGTGTAACAATCTGACAATACTATATATTGATCAAAAAAGCTCTCAAGAGAGAGGTAATGTGACTCTCTTTACACAGCACCAGTCATCATATTTCAAGGACCCAGATGACGGAGAAACCAATAGTTTATTCAATTGTTGATTTAATATCACTAAGAAGAGACAAGGATCATAGAAGATCGTAACCTCAAGCCATAAAGAAACTGTAAAGCAAGACTGTGCGTGTGTCACCACAAAACATTCACTTCTGAAGTTGGACAAAGAAGTTTGCTCTCATAGCACAATGTCATATTTGTCTGGTAATTCTGTAATCAATATATATCATGATGTCACCCAGTGAAAACGTGCTAGACTAACTACGACACTATGACCATGGTTGCGATATCCAATGACTTGACAGCCAACTACATGAGTTCGATCAGTGACCATCTTGCCGCTTAAAATCATGAAATAGTTGTCCTCGTTTTGTTTGTTGATTTTCAGTTTTCTTTTCTCCCTTCTCATCCACAGCACACACCTGTCTTCTTTTTTTCCCCCTTTTGTTCTTTTGTTTGTTTGTTTGTTTTTGGGTTTTTTGTATTAATTTGTTATCTTTTATAAACAATCTCAGCAATTTTCGTTCTTTAAATTTAGCTTCTACTCGAAGTTGTACACACACAAGCACACACACACACACACACACACACACACACACACACACACACACACACACACACACA